ACTCTTTCAAAAATAGTACTAAGGGAGATATAAGGAATTATAAATTAGGAAATCTAACTTTAGTCCCAGGTAAATTGGTTAAAATTGCAATTAAAAACAGAATTAAAATATACTTGTATGAACATGTTAGGTTCAAAGGACAAGCTTCTGAAAAAGGAAAATCATGCCTCTCTGATTTACTATAATGTTTTCAGCATGTCAACAGAAGTAATAAAGAAGCAGCAGATGGCGTAATACATTTGGACCTTCAAAAAGCCTGTGACAAAGTCCCTTGCAAAAAACTCTTAAAGTAACTAAAGTGTCCAAGGTGAGGATTGAGTATTCCTGGATCAGCAACCAAGAGGCAAGAAACAAAGTAGGAAAACATTGTCTGACAAGTTACAGTTACATACTAGGACTAGTATTCTTTAATATGTTTAATAACATTCTGGAAAAGAGGATGAACAGTGAGGTGACCACATTTGAAAGTGGCACAAAATTCTTTAGGTTAGTCAGGACAGAGAGAAGGGTCAGGAACCTCCTGTCAGGGACATTCAGGGCAGCATGGCAGCAGATGAAGCTCACTGCAGCAAATGCAAGATAATACACATTGGAAGGAATAATAATCTCAGCTCCTCATTTCTGAGTTCAAAATGAACTATAACCACTGTGGATATTCCTTTGCTCCATATGCATCAATGGTCAAAAAAGCAAACCAAATGTAAGGACATAAAAGTAAAGGGAAAGAAAATTATACTGAAAATATTATAATGCATTTATATAAACCAGGGATTGGCAAGCTTTGGCATGCGGCCCATCATGGTAACCCCTGGCAGACTGGGATGTTATTTTTACCTGCCGCGTCCGCAGGTTCGGTCAATCACGGCTCCCACTGGCTGCAGTTCGCTGTTCCAGGCCAATGGGGGCTGCGGGAAGCGGTGCAGGCCGAGGGATGTGCTGGCCGCTGCTTCCCGCCGCCCCCATTGGCCTGGAATGGTGAACTGCGGACAGTGGGAGCTGCAATCGGCCAAACCTGCAGACATGGCAGGTAAACAAACCGTCCTGGTCCACCAGGGGCTCACCCTGACTGGCCGCATGCCAAAGATTGCCGATCTTTGATATAAACCAATAATATGCCATCACTTGGAAAACTGTGTTCAGTTCCAATCACCTTCTCTCAAAAGAAATTGACAGATTCAGAGAATTGCTGCAAATATAATCAGAGCCATGAAAAGATTCCCATATAAGGAGAGATTGAAAAGACTAGGAATGTTTCAAATAGAAAGGAAATGAATAAGAGGGGATATGAAATAATAGATGGCATCAAGACTAATAATACCTAATGTTAGAGGGCTTTCCCTTTACCCATCCCCTGGTTCTTGTCACGCAGACAGAAAGCAGAAGACCAGAAGTCCCAAGTGTAGGCAATGCGATGTGTATTGGGGTTAGTTCCAAGCAAGCACACATAACTCTGATGCCACAGAGTCTTGTTTCCCAGTATCCCATTCCCAGCTCTGACGCTGCAGAGCGTTGCTATGTCCCTGTTCCCCATTCCCACCCCCTCTTCCTTCTTCTTAGCAGGCCCAAACATACCTGCAACGCATGCCCACAGTCCCACACCTTACAATTTATGGTCATGTTCCATTTTGGAGGGTCATGGGTCTGGGTCTTCGTCCAACCTATTTTGTACCCCATGGGAGGCGTAAGGAGTGAGGTTGTGCTCTGGCCAAGGCCAGGCCTTTCTTTGGTTTTAATGTGTCTTATGCTTGCCGGCCCTTGCGCCTCCTAACTGGTTGCTTGACCGTGGCTTGACAGAGGACCTAGGCAGCCTTCCAGTGTATGCTCAGATATTACACTCCCACCATACCATTTTTTTATCTCTTAGTTCCATCTCTTATCTCTTTCATCCCATCTGCTTGAGGGCAGTGCCTTTGTCTTTGTCTTTTGTTTACACATATTAGTATAAGATATAAGAGTATCAAAAAGTCAAACCCAAAATTCTATCTCAGACTGACAAACAAGCCTATGTGCTAACACCTAACTCTTATTTAAATGCTTTTAATCTATAACTCTCAGAAGGTTTTACAAAGGAAATAAGTAGATGGGCCCTGTTGCCATAATATCTGAGCACCTCACAATCTTTAATGTATTTATCCTCACCACACCCCAGCGAGGTAGCGCAGTGCTGTTATCCGCTTCGTACGGAAGGGGAACTGAGGGAGAGAGATCCACAAAAGGATTTAGGCATCTAACTCCCACTTTAAGCGACTAAGTCCAAAATTTAGGCACCACAGAAATCCTCAAAACCACTACTCAGCTGCCACCTAACTCTGGAGGTGCCTAAAATTGTTCAGTGCCAAAATTTCTGCTGTTAAAGTCCCCAAGGTGCCTAAATTTCTGTCTCTGGCTGTGCACATCACTGCCTCAATACTGATAGCCAGTGCCTATCTCACGCCTGCATAATCCTCAAACCAGGTGAAACTAGGCAATGTCCCACCTACCTCGCCTGCGGAGCCCAATCCAGTAGGCATGCTTTAAGCCATACACAGAAGCTGAGGGAGGAAGGATGCAGCAGTGGCCTTCCTTATAATCTTTAGTCCACTGGTTAGAACACTCACCTGGGATGTGGAAGACCCTGGTTCAGTTCCACCCTTAGAAAAGAACTTCTTTGAACTTAGGCTTTCCACCCCTCAGATGCATGCCCCAACCACTAGACTGTGGGATAGTCTCTTGTGAGGCTTTCTCAATCTCTCTTGTTGAAGATGTTCCACTTTATATTACATAATTAAAAAATGAAATAGACACTGGGTGAGATAGTTGGTGACTGACTCTACAGCCAGTGATTAGGGTAGTCAGAGGAGAGGTGGGAAACCCGAAGTCAAATCCCTTCTCCACAGCAGGCAGAGGGAAGAACTGAACTGGGGTCTCCCATCCGAGTGTCTTAACTACAGGGCTAAAGGTTATACGGCTACCACCACCTCTGTTTTGTATAGAATTAAGAGAGTACTTCTGCCATTCTTGCAAGCAACAGCTTAGGTTCCTGACTCCAGGAGAAGGGTCCATGGCTGCACATCCCAAGCAGAGATAGGTGCTCCCCTCCAGCCTAGATTTAGGCACCTAACTCCCTGAAAGGGGCAGGGGTCAGGACACATCCCTCTCCTCTGCATCTGCTATTGGCTAGCTTTGACAGCTCAGTTCCTAGCATGCAGGCTTTCATGGATCCGATTCTTAGGCAGTTGGCTTCCTCGTGCATTCTACAGAGAGCCTAGGTGCCTAACCCAGGGTTTGTGAATTCTACTGAGTGGCGAGGAACCACAATGCCTGGCTCCCTTGGGCCAGAGGGCCCAAGCAACCAGCCCAAAGTCACAGTGACTCTGTGACCAAAAAGAGGGGGTTGAACCCCAGTCTCCCAAGTACCAGCATAATGCCTTAGCTACTGGACCTTGTTGCTGGTGCATATGTGTGATGTATTTAGCGGATTCTAGTGACTAATAAAAACAGTCTTTGATTCTGTCCTTAAAAGAAACCAAGCTTTACAGAAACCTAAGTGTGTTTTGGCATCTGTTTTTTCTCTTGTAGGTTTCATTCCTGTCTATTTCCAAGGAAAAAAGGATGGCTGCCACTCTAGGACTTTTTCCCATGTTTTTTTGTGCCATGTTATTTCCTACGTTGCATGCTGCCATTGTGTATACAGAGTGTAAGTATAATACTTTAATTGAGATAATCTAAAGGACTTAATTCATCTCTAGGGATATTTGCCCGTCCAGTTACACTATGTACTGTCATAGCAGGCCTGCTAAATACTAGTCTCTGCACCTGAAAACTTTGAAAAATATTATTGCATCCTCTCTGATATTAATTCATAAAACTTACAGCGAAGTCATCATCCTCACCCATTGCCAACTTGACGCTGAATCCTGGAAAACTAAAGCTGACCTGGGACAGCAGTGTCACTGATACTGCATACAGATGTTCTATGCGTGTAGGCCAGAGTTACAGTTGGAAAAAGGTAAGTTTTCTATTTACTTATTAACAGAAACAATAAACTGTAGTTTCTTTTCCTTTTATATACTCAATTTATTGAAGAAACATATGTATCACTTGTAGTATCATAAAAGCCTAGAAAAGCCTAGGGTGCTCTGTGTACAGTTTTGGTGAGATTATTATTGGAATACTGTGTCCAGTTCTGGTGTCACCACTTCAAAAGGATGCTGAAAATTGAAGAATTCAGGATAGAGCTACATGAATGATCTGAGGTCTGGGAAACCTGCTTTGCAGGAAAAGACTTAGAGTATGTCTACACTACAAACGTAAGTCGACCTATATTAGGGTGAGTTATAGCCACTGTAGTAATTACAGTAATTATAGGGAGGAGGGATAGCTCAGTGGTTTGAGTATTGGTTTGCTAAACCTAAAGCTGTGAACTCAATCCTTGAGGGGCCTACTTAGGGAACTGGGGTAAAAATCTGTCTGGGGATTAGCCCTGCTTTGAGCAGCGGGTTGGACTAGATGAGCTCCTGAGGTCCCTTCTAACCCTATGATTCTATGTCCACACTATCCTCCTTGAGTCCATGGTTTGTGTCCTCATGAGGAGCACTTCCACCAACCTAACAGAGGGAGTGTAGGGAACTGAGTCATTAGTGAACTCTCTTTACTTTTCTTATAAAAGAGAAGATTAAGAGGTGACTTGATCAGTCTACACATACCTACTGGGGGAGAAGATGTCTAATAATATAGAGCTCATTCATTTAGTGGGCACCTTTCTTTGAAACATCGGCTGCTGGCCAATCTCAGAGACAGGATATGGGACCAGATGGATAACTGGTCTGATCCAATACAGAAATTCCTAGCCCACATTCTTGTGATCCACTGCATCTGGAAGATACAGCAAAAGCACAAAAGTCCTCCTGATG